TTTAACATGAATATTTACATAAATTAAATTAAAATAAAATAATAAAATCTTGATTAACTTTTAAACTATATAAATTTGTATAGAAAATTAATATATTTTATAAAAAAAATTGCATTAATGATTATATTGATAAATTTTTATTTTACTTTTATTATATGTATAGGGATAAAACCAAACACGAGATATCAAATTTAATAAAATAATATATTTAATAATTGTTATAAATGATTATTGTTTTAATTATTAATCTATGTAATATTATGATAATAATTATACACACACACACACATATATATATATATATATATATATTAATTTTTATATAAATTATACAGTTTTAGATATATATGATAATAAGTATTTATGTATATTAACCTACTATACATTAAAATAAAATAAGATGATAAATATTGATAAATTTTTAAAATTATATAAAATTAATTTATTTTATAATCACTTTAAATTTTACGATAAAATTAATAAAAATATTTATTAAATTTCACATAATATTATCCCATATATGCAAATTGAATATGTATTGATAATATTCACTCAACAAGTTGTAATATTTCTTTTAAAATATGTTTGAGAAGAAAGTTTTGAAAGGAAAGTAAAGAGATCACATGTTTTTTAATTTTAAATTAAAAAATTGTATATTATTTATAATAATAAATATATAATTAATATATTAAATTTATGTTAATATATTAATTTATAATTTTTATTTTAAAAATATTAATTTTAAATATATTTATTTAAAATACAAAATTTATCTTCACTTTTCCTCTCCTCAAAAACTCCTTTCCCAATCAATCTTAAAAAAAAAACTAACATCAGCAGATGTTAAAGTTTAATCTGATCGTGGATTAGATGGGTGCAAAAGCAAAATTGTGAAGCTTTTTCCTAATGAAATTTAATTAGTTTTATGAAACATATTCACCAGCGGGATAATGACAATGCAGTCTTCAAAATCAAATAGCTGCATAGTATAGTAACATTGGATTTGGATAATGATAAGGTGAATTATAGTCAACAGAAGCACATTGAATTGTTTAATGGAATGGCTTGGCCAATGAAAACGATTGGCCATATATAGGAGTAGTTGATGATCTTCGTCTGTTTCAGATCCTTATTTGATTGATTGTGTGTCACATTAATTTTGTTGGTTTATCTGTATTACTGTATATATATAATGCTTAATCCCTAGTTATCATAAGATTAAGATATTTGCATGTGATTAATTGCTATCTACAGTGTTTAATTAAACCTACAGCCCAAGTAGGTTGACAAAAGTAGCAGCCAACTAGCACTCATCATTTCCTTAGGTTTTTATTATTCTTCTTGAGGATAGAAAAACCATTGTTTTTTAATATTTTTGTTTATTTAATTCATATTTTGATATTTTATTTTTAATTAACAGAGGCTCACATTTATAAATTTTATAGTAAGTTTCCTATTGAATGAAAACATCTTAAAAATAAATGTATAACAAAATTAATTTATATATTTTAATCTCAAAAGTAAATTTTGGTCTTCTCCATAAAAGGATCAAGATTAATAACATGTTTAAATATATTTTAAAATTTCATTAACACAAAAAGTTCAACTTGTGAATTTGTGATCATCAAACGTGACTTGTGAACTATATTACTTAAACGCACTTTTATGGCTTGAATCAATTTATTCTACTGTTTATCAATTATCATTAAAAATGGCACTTTTTCACTGATCGAGCATAATGACGGCACTTTTTGATGATATTCAATTGTTCCTAAAACATAATTTGGCACATGGCATCAGGGAATCACTGCTAATTATTCAGTTAAGTTTGGTGCTTCCCATGAGACTTTGCTACAAGATGGACAACACTATCATTCTGTTCTTTCTTTTGGCTTGATAGCAAAAGAAAATAATATGTATTTGTGAAGTAAATGACAATTTACATACAATCAAATAAGAAATAGAATCTGATATTATTGAAATTATATTTATAGCATTTTGTTTGTCTCTAAAATTGTTACTAACAGTGTTTAAAGACAAACATATGCATCAAAATTTAAACCAAACAACAATTGATAATCAATTCCTACGTATTATATCTGAATATTTTCTCTAGAGAATAGAAACTTCTCTCAATTCACCTATTTCTTAGTGTATCACGTAATATTTCTATATTAAGTATATGATCAGTTGAATTTTGTTTTAGGTGAAACTTAACTTACTGCGAGGCTTTCAATTCAACGGGAACACGTACATGCTTTTCTTCGTGCTTATGTTAATGAACAAGGACAGTTCATGTAACAGTGGGACCTGAAAATAGGGATGGGATGGGTCATTGATTCATGTTTGGTATTTAGTATCAAGGAAATGAAAAAAAATAAGTTAAATTGGGGGCGAAAAGAGGGAAATAAAATTGAAAACGTAAAATGGGATCCATGATAAAAAATTCTATAATATTTCAATTTTTATAAGTAGGGTTGCTTATTTTTCGATATTTTAAATTTTGTTTTGTAAGATTAATTTTTTAAATCATATACAAGGAACTCACATGCTTTAAGAGTTAATATTAGTTTGTTTATTTTACTTAGTAGTATTTTATAAGTATGAAAATTTACTAATCTAACTGTTAATTTAATTTTTTTAACAAAGTAATCAAAATCAATTCAAATCCTTTTAAACTGCAAATTTGATAAAAATAAATAAAAAAATAAACTATTAACTAAATAATTTTAAAATATCTTATTTTACAATTTGGTTTAGCTTTCAGTTTTTATATTTAAAATTAAACTAAATTAAACTCAACTAAACTAAAAGCATATATTAATAAGATTTAATATTTTAATTAGTTTTTCCATAATTATTGTATATATGAATTCTTATTTAATAAGCATTTTTTAAATAAAAAATTAGTTAGTCTTAATTTGAATTAATTTATAAAAAAGTTTTTATAGAAAAAATAATAATAAATTTTTTCTTATAAAATAAAAATAATTTATTTTTTAAAATGTGAGAGTTTCTAAAAAATAAAAAAGCATAAGTTGTATTAAATTTATGAAAAATTTTAACTTTTTTTATAAAAACTACTTTAAAAGTGTATATTTAAATAATCATATTCAAGTTGAATAAAATTTTAGATTAATGTATAATAACTAATAATTTTATGTTTTGTCATGCCTTTATAGCCTATATATTTATTTATAATCATTATTTTATTAGATTTTTACTCTAATTCCTATAATTATTATGCAAATTAATATGAAAAGGTCACAATTAGGTTTTTGGTGCATTTTACGCCTAAATTAGTTGAAAAATAGAATTTCGTTACAGTATGTTCATACTTCAGTAGCTAGCATGAGAGTGCTTCGACCATATGCATGATTGCGGTGGATTCTTTGAATGACTTTATGAAATTTTTATGATTTATCATAATTTCGTGTTTCTTTTATTAGTATTTATCTCGTTGTACTGTATTTGTATGTCAGAATTGACAACTCTTAAATATATTATAATTAATTATATTGTAGGTGATTGTACCATATATAGTTAATTAATTTGTAAGGTAAAACAAGAAAAAAGATTAGATGGATCAAATTTAATTTTTCTTTCTCAATCGTTATTAAATTAACAGCTTCTAAGCTCTTTATATTTTCTCTTTCTTCTACCTTACATGATCATTGGGTTGATAGTTTTAAGAAAAGATAGTTAATATTATATGATTATGGAGTGTTAATAGATTTAGTATGAGTGGTTGGATATCATAAGAAAATCAGAATTAAAATCAATCTAAAATTAAACATAGGAAGTGTAAAAGAAAAACTACACGTCCTAAATTCTTTTCAATTGAGTTTATTTTTAGATGTTACGCTATTTTAATTTTTTTTTAATTAAGTACTATAATTAAATCTTTATTTTATTTACTTTCATACACATTTAAACAATTAAACTAAAACAATTATTAGTAATTGAAAACAAATAACAATTTTTGTAGAACAGTATTTCAATAACTTATTTTAAAATCTTTTATTACTCTTCAACTAATACGTTTAGTTACAAACAATAACTCATATAAGTTGATTTATATTATAATAACAAGTAAGTAAATTATATATATATATATATATTAGTTTTAAATTAAAAAAGTTAAAATTAAAAAAATTCATAAAATATAAATATTGTAGTTTAAACTCAATTTATTATAAATATTTATAAAAAATTAATTTAAGATCAAAATTAAAAAAATGCAAAACTATGTTTCCAAACTCACTCTTTACATATTATAATGTAGTAGTATTTTTTTAGAACTTGTAAAGAAGTTAAAACATTAACAAAACGTTTATTAATGCGTTATAAATAAATTATATAAATAAATTGAATATCATATGCATTCAGACCTAAAAGCATTAAAGTTATGAGTTTAGGATTTTTATAAATAATTAATAATTTTCTTTAAATATAATAATAATAATAATAATAATAATAATAGAGATTTAATTTTTAAAAATGTTAACAAATTTTTTAATTAGTTTTTGTTTTAATTCTCACAAATTTTAATATTTAAAAAAATCATTTATAACTTACTATGAAATTATATAACATTTAAACATGTTAAAGCTACTTGTAATTTTAAAATAGTTATTAATGTTAATATAATAAAACTAAATACATGCCACGTAATTATAAGATGATAATTAAAATTATTATTTTTTAAATTATAAGAAATAAAGTTAATAATTTTTTTATAAAATTAAAAATAAACATATTTATTGTGATTAAAAATAATTTAATAATAATAAAAATTTTATTAACTTCAACTCTTAAATTAAGTTTAAACATTTATAAATAAATTTTTTATAAAAAAATATACAGTTATTATATTAAATTATAAAAATATAATAAATATTTTTTTAATAAAATTTTATTTTTCTTAACTATACAAAATATTTAATAAAATAATAAAATTTTTTAATATAAAAAGTCAAAGGTACATATTATTGAATTCCATCCGAGCAATGAGCAAAGCAAGCTACTGCTACTTGTCCCTAACCTGTGACCGCTTATCTCAACCCCCTTCCATCCATTCATTAGTTAAAAAGAGCCAAACTTTCCTTCTCTCTCTCTCTCTCTCTCTCATTCATTACAAGTTACAACCACCCTTCTCTTTTTCTTACTCCTTCACTCACCTAAAGCCAACCTTTCCCATCTCCATTTCTACCATGTTTTCTCTTCCCTTATACAAAGTTAAAATCTTTCACATACACTCATTCCTCTCCAAGTTCCATAGCCTCTTGGGTCATTCCTTCAACTTCAACATCTAATTCTCACCCTTTTGCTTCAAAACAAAAACAATGATGGGAAGCAAATGGAGAAAATTGAAGCTTGCTCTCGGTTTGGATTCCTGTGTTCACGTTCCTAGACCTTTAGATGATTCCTCCGCCGCTTCAAGGTTTTCCGGCGACACCTCACCCACCGTTGTTTCTCCCGCCGGTGACATCTCCGGTTATCGCCCAACCACTCCCACACCATCCTCCTCCGGTCTCCGGTTATCCAAATCTGGACCCAAATCCCCTAAGGTTAGCATAAAGTTTCAGTTTTTATTTTCATTATTTTTTTGGGGTTGCTAAAGTTACCCTTTTGCTCCAGCTTCACCACTGAATCTCCATGGTAGATTCTGGTTTGCACTATTTGTTTTAAGCAACATTCATTTTTTTTTTAAATGTTCTCTTGGTACTGTTAGAGGAAAATTACTATTATTAAGAGCTTAAATTTATTTAGGGCATAAATACAAATTATATTTTTGTTATCAATTAAAATGGCTAGATAAGCATCAATTTCAACTTTAATCATACTTTAGTATTCTTAATTGGGGTATGGTGGAGTGTGACGCATTGTGACTATTGGGGAAACGTTTTATTCTTGGTTGTGTTGTTTTCAACTCCATTATGGGTGGGGAGTGGCATAAAGTGTAGTACTGTGGCTACCCCTTTAAGGACCAGTTTGGCTCATTAGAAATGGGTTGCATTTGACACAGTTTTTCTTGTTTCTTCCGTTACTAATTTTTACTGTGTACTGTTCAATTCAATGGATGCATTTTTTCTCTCTCCTTGCTATCCCCACAAAAGACCCCTTAACCGTTGATTGTGAAATTCCCATATGCAAACAAAGAAAAGTCTGGATTTTGCAAAATATTTAATCTACTAAAGCAATAAAAAATTAAAAAAATCCGTGACCAATGAATAAATCATCTTTGATTTGTCCTTCTTTCGTTTTTTTTGAATAGTTAATTGATTAATGTCTCGAAAGTTTCAATATTAGAGTTACGAATTTGTCTTAGTACCTTTTTTAAAAGTTGTTTGCCTATTGTTGATAATTCTTTTTTTCCTTGGTGACCTCAAAGTCTTTGACCAGCAAACGTTGACCTTACTGATTTTTTTGCTTGTTAATTTTAAGCTTTGTATTAAGTGGTAGATTTGGCTGAGATTATAGGCATCTGTGGTAAAGATGGGTTGCATTCTATTCCATCTTTTTATGCAATGGTCTTATTAGTGGACCTGCATCGGGACAGAAGTGGCGCAGTGTAAGACACCGGGGTAATAGTGACCTTTGCAAATGTTACATTTATCAATGAATACTTTATTGAGACACTGTTCAGATTCGCCGATTCAATGAATTTAGTTCTTTTTCTTTTAATTATTTTAATAAATGACTAATTGGGATATTATTAGTATAGATGGTTCGAAGGATGACCCCATAGATGCATATAGCCCATACATGAAGGTGTATGTGCCCATGTTTTCCATTTGTTTAATTAATAATAATGTTGTTATTATTATTTTAATTGAATGCCTTCAATCTATAAATATACCGTCACTGATCGTGAAATTTGAACTTGGGAATAGATGTTGCCATTGGTTGGGTTACTTTTTAAATACTGTCTAATTTCAAGTTTAGTTTTATTTCAACTTGAAAATTATTTTGAAGCCATATCACAGTTAAAAATTAATAATATATTTCTGGGGAGGATGCTGATTCTTTTCATTCCTGACAATTTTAGACAGTTGAAAATGTTTGAGGAGTTTTATTTGTATTGATATTCGAGAGGTTCTTAATGCACGGATACTTTATGTTTGAGTGTTAATTTCAGAAGCTATTGCTGTCTTACAAGATATGAAAAACATGTTTCTGATTGGTGCATTCAATGGCATTCTTGTTTATTAGAAATCTGAAATTTAGTCGTTGATTTTGCCTTACACTTGGATGTGTTTTTTGAATGGAAAATTCAAATCCATACTTTCCTCCATTTAATCCTAGGACATTCTAGACTCTCAAGTTACCAACACTTGGAAACAACAATTTTTTGCGGAAGTGTTATTTTAAGTTTCTCTTTTTCCTTTTTAGTGATAAATAGTTGAGATTTTTTATTGGTCTTGAGTAATTTTAGTGGTCACATCCTTTTTATCTCTTTCTATGTGTGATGAACACCTTTCAATCTTTCACAAAAGGTAATACTGAGTAGGTCTTAGTTAAATGGTGGTAGATAATTGTGGTATGCTAATTGTCTTACGAATTATGCCATGACTATATTTTTGATAGATATGTCAACTAAGGGCAAGTGTTATGCTGTTTCACATTCCGAATTAGTTGTCTATGTGACAACAATATGGATCTTTATCTCTTCCTCCCTCTGTGTGAGGGTATGCATTTTGTTTGGTGTCTTGTTTCGTTGATAAAAATTACATCATCGTGTTCTCTCTCTTGTATACTGTCAATTTTGCATTTAAATCTTGTATTTACTTCAATAGTGATACTTATGAAAGCCTTATTTTATTAGCCCTTATAGAACCTTCTTTTGCTGACATTTTTATCCATGCTAACTGCAGGGGACTTGTGCAATATGCCTTTACACAATGAAACCAGGGCAAGGCCATGCTATTTTCACTGCAGAATGTTCTCATTCTTTCCATTTTCACTGCATCACTTCTAATGTGAAGCATGGGAACCAGATTTGCCCTGTCTGCAGAGCAAAATGGAAAGAAGTTCCTTTTCAAAGTCCTACTTCTAATATGCCCCATGATGTTCCTCGAATCAGCCAAGCGACTGCACGAGACAATAATTGGACAACTGTCATAAGGAGGCTTCCTTCTCCTCAAGGGGATGCAAGTCGACAGATTTCATCGCTTTATCATGTTACTGAACCAGCTATTTTTGATGATGATGAAGCCCTGGATCAACAAACTTCAATTACACACAATAAAAATGAGACCGATCACAATTCAATAAATACAGTGGAGATCAGAACATATCCTGAGGTTGCAGCTGTTCCAAAGTCAGCCTCTCATGATGCGTTTGCTGTATTGATTCATCTCAAAGCTCCTCACACAGGGAGAAAACAAAACGTCGATGGAAACAATGCTGCATCACCACCTCCAGTTGAAAATTCTCGTGCTTCAGTTGACCTCGTGACGGTTCTTGATGTAAGTGGTAGCATGGCAGGTACTAAGCTTGCATTGCTAAAACGAGCTATGGGTTTTGTTATTCAGAATCTTGGTCCATCAGACCGGCTGTCTGTCATTGCCTTCTCCTCCACAGCACGCCGCATCTTTCCTCTTCGGCAGATGACGGATACTGGACGACAGCAGGCATTACAGGCTGTCAATTCTTTGGTTTCAAATGGTGGGACAAACATTGCAGAAGGCTTGAGGAAAGGCACCAAGGTGTTTGCTGACCGGCGATGGAAAAACCCGGTTAGCAGCATCATATTACTATCTGATGGGCAGGATACATACACAGTCAATAGCAGGCCTAATGTTGGAACAGATTACCAGTCACTAGTCCCAAACTCCATTCACCGAAACAATGGTATGGGCTTGCAGATACCAGTGCATTCATTTGGCTTTGGGACTGACCACGATGCTACTTCAATGCACTCAATCTCTGAAATATCTGGTGGTACATTTTCTTTTATTGAAGCTGAGGATGTCATTCAAGATGCATTTGCACAGTGTATTGGGGGACTCTTGAGTGTGGTGGTGCAAGAATTACAGGTAGAAGTCAAATGTGTTCATCCTCATTTGCAACTTAGTTCAGTAAAAGCAGGAAGTTACCAAACAAGTTTGATGGCCAATGCAAGAATGGCTTCTATTAAGGTAGGAGATTTATATGCTGAAGAGGAAAGAGACTTTTTAGTAACAGTTAACGTTCCAGTTGATGAGTCAAGTGATGAAATGTCATTGTTGATTGTGAGAGGTCTTTACCGAGATCCCATGACAAAAGAAATGGTGGCTTTGGAAGGAACTAGTGAAGTAAAAATCCACAGGCCTGATTTAAGTGGAGAACTAGTTGTGTCAATTGAGGTAGACAGACAGCGAAACCGGCTTCAAGCAGCAGAAGCAATGTCTGAGGCTAGAGTTGCGGCTGAACGTGGCGATTTGTCTGCTGCAGTTTCTATCCTGGATAGCTGTCAAAAGGCATTGTCTGAAACTGTGTCTGCCCAAGCCGGGGATCGGTTATGTGTTTCACTTTCTGCGGAGTTAAAGGAGATGCAAGAAAGGATGGCGAGCCAGCGTGTTTACGAGCAATCTGGAAGGGCCTATGTTCTGTCAGGATTGAGCTCACATTCATGGCAAAGAGCAACAGCACGAGGCGATTCAACAGACAGCACAAGCCTTGTGCAAGCATATCAAACTCCTTCTATGGTTGACATGGTGACCCGTTCCCAGACCATGGTTTTTGGGACTCCAACAAATCGCCGAGTCCTTAGGCCTGCTAAATCATTTCCTGAGAGGCAGAGAAGACAATGATAATGGAAAACTGTGTTTGGAAAAACTCTACTTAGCCTATACATACAATTGTGGAGAAATCTTTTAAGTTTCTTCTTATCTTGTTTTACCCTTTTGTTTTTACTTTTTGTCAAGGTGGGTATAATGGAAAGGAAGGAGTTTAAAGTGGACAAAATTCCTGATTTTGCCAATATGAAACTGTACATGCATAGGCTGGATAATGTGGCTCTGCAGAGAATGGCGAAAAGGGTCAGGTTGGATAATATTTCAGTGTGATTCTGAGTGATGTACATAATTGTTTTCAGTTGCATTGTGCGGGTGAATTTCTTCACTTTGTTTAGACAATGCTATACTATATATGCTTCTGATTCTTTTTATAAATGATCTTCCTTATGCTTTTCCTTTTTAACTTTATAGTACTTTAGTTTCTTTTAGGTGCACCTTTTGTTTCAGATGATTCTATTTGCTTGCAATTGCGTCATATCATTGGATTTCACTTACTAGCCGCAGATGTCCGTTGAATGCCTTCCTTTTATATTATTGTTCATTCAATTCAAGAAGCACCACTTGTGGATACTCCAACAAAATTTTGGTTAAATTTTTCACTCTGTCATTTGGTCATTCTCCGGAAGCAGTATCAAAGTTTACGGTTAAATATATTTTTCCTATCAAAATCTATCAAATTTTAATTTTTATAGTTTTTTGTTTTAATATTTATATTTTAAAAATGGTTGATTTTGGTTCTTTTACTTTTACAAAGTTGTAACTCTGATATAAAAATTATACGTGATTACATTAATCATTTTAATTTTGGTGAATTTTAAGAGATGAATTTTCTCTTCTAGTTTCTTCGTCTCTCTTCTTTCATCTTTCAGATCAGACTAATGGGTGATTGAATTGACATTTCAAAATCTGTTGGTGCCAATTTTAGCATCTGATCATTTTGAAGTATATAATATGCTTTAACATAAGGGAAAGTCAAGTTTTTATACAATACAAATATTTAAACATGTATAGCTGTCTGTTATATACAAAATTCAAACACATTTATATTGTATTACAACTCTTTCCCACGTTACGTTAGATAGGGTTTTGACCTCCTTTTTTATGGGTCAGAAAAGTAAGAATCCAGATCTTGAGATCTTTCATTGCGCACATTGGGCTCAGAGCGTCCTAGATTTGTAGTCTATTGTGGAGATGATAGGATATGCCTCTTTATGAGTGCCTTCAATCACGTGATACTCATACCCCTTTATTATTAAAATAATAAAAAGAATATTTATAATACTTTTTTAAAATTTTATTAAATAAACTTTATATCTATATAATGTAACATGCAGATGAGTTATCATTGAGTAATAAAAGAATACTGTAAAAAAACCTGCGTTATCATTTCTCGTTCAAGATCGGATCAAAATAACTTGTTCTTTTAATTGTTACGAAATATTTTTAAATTTAGTACATACTTAAAAGAAAAAGTAAAAACTAAAATTCCATTTAAATGAGAAATGAAATAGAAATAAAAAATATTTTAGATTTGTTAAAATAAAATTATTTATTTGAATGAGTAAAAAAATTAAAAAATTAAAAAAATATTCATAAAATTTACATTTTCATCATAATATTTTTTGATAGTTTATTAAAATAAAGGGAATTTCTTTCTTTTCCTGTATTTTTTTCCTCCCATATTTTGATGTCATCCATAAGAGTAAAGGTAAATAATTTATTAAATTTAATGCTAAATAATAGAACTCTTAATGATATTTGGAATTTATTGCATGTATGACCAAAATTAGTAGGACCACGTGTCTAACAAAGTAAGCAGGGTGTGCCACCTTAGCACCTGCGTTTCTCTCTACCCTACAGCGCTCCATCAATCTCTTCTCTTGTGACTTTATTAAGCTCTTCATATCTTCAACACTCTATAAAGTCTACCCAACTCTTCAAACTCTCGTTTCCTTTTCCTTTTACTCAACAAAACACCTGCACTGAAATTTTCACTTTTCCAACGTTAATACCCCATTGCATGGATCATGGGCAAAGCATTCTAGTTGGCAGATCTAAAGCTTTCTTTATCTCATCACAACACAGCCCAAAAATCCTACGGTTTCCTTGGTTGAGTTAAGGTACCAAGTTCATTCGTGTCTCCTAGTTTTCAAAAACTAGTGGCATTGTTGTTTGGCACCCTATCCCCACCAAAGTACACTTTTCTTTGAAAAAGCTAATTAGCATGATTTACTATTTAGGATGCATGATAACATGATTTGATTGCATTTTGGATTAATATGTTTTTCTAAGAGTCACCGTTGATTAAGTTTGTCCTTGTCTAATCATCATGTTAGGAATGCTAATTGCTGGTTGCACTGCTCACGCTCTCAATCCACACACGACAAAGAAACATGTCATTGGGGCCCACACTCTTAATTCATTAAAGAAAACAACTCACTGCGTTGAAAATTCTTCTTTACGGTTTATGAATTTCTGAACCATATATATATTGGTACATATATATATGTCTTTCAAGCTAAGTTAAAGTTAAATTAAATCTTATGTATTAGATTGGTTATTTAAATCGAATCAACAGAAACAACAAACATAACAATGTGTTATGAGAGAGAAGGACAAAAAGAATAGATTAATGGACTTTATTTAATTGTTTTATGTATCATAACGTGATGTCGTATATAATGTTTTTTGTTTTTACTAACATAAAATATTCTAAATCCATTGAAATGTATCTTCCTTCTATGTTTTTTTTTCCTTGTCTGGCATCTTTCCGTTCAAGAAATGACAAAGCAGTACTTTATCTTTTTAGCCGTTAGCTATACCACATTCTATTCTTTTGAAGTAAGTAAAATTTGGTGCTTGAAAGTTGAAACAAACTTATTCCACTTCATTTTTTATGTTTGTAATTAGAAGATATATATGTACCTAAATTTTTATTTTTTCAAAAAAGATTTTGTTATGACTCGAGATAATTGGGCTATTCAGTGTGTGAATTTGGTCATATGAAAGAAGAATGGACAAGGAAATGAGTGAAAAATCAGCTGAGTTGTGAGCTGGTTTTTTTTGGATAGATGTAAATTTGGAAGGGGGTTGAAGGGTTATTTTCAGTTAGCAAAGGGGTTACTTTCGGAGAGGTGGAAGACTAGATGGTTCCTTTTCTAAGCTCCATTCATTTCCAGATGTTTATGTTGTTTTTATAGAATAGACTCATCTGGATTGGTCTCTATCCTTCCTATCTGTTGTCATTTGTCTGTTTAATTTACTTCCCATTGATCTTATTTCTCTAATAATGAAACCTTGAGGTTGGTGAACTTGGTTTCCCCTTACTCTAATTAACTGCTTTTTGGCTTTGTTTCAGTTTAGTGAACTAGTTTCTTTCCAGAACAAGAAAAAGCGTATACAAATCAGTCTTAATCTCTGCTTTCTCGTATGCTTAACTTAGCTTTCTTTTTTGTATTTTGTTTTGCTGCTTTGACTTTCTTTGCACCGGTTCTGATTATGCAAACTTCAAAAGATTCTTCTTCTAGTTCCAAATTCTCATAAGCTTTGCAGAATTGTAGGTGGAAACTATGATGGTTTCGTTTTGTATGTTCCATACATAGACTTTGCATAAGATTTTGGAACCTAATTTCAAGCCATCCATCAAGAGAGTTCTACCAGTTCACTGGCTACATTTATTGTCAGATACAAGATGCAACGATTCTATCGGTCCATCTGTCCTCCTTCAATTGAACATTTATGCAAATTGGTTGTTGACTAACAATTTACGAGTCCTTCCCACTCTCACTCAGTGTTGCTATTCTATACCCCCTAGCTACCATCTACTTTACTAAATGTTCAAGCTTTCAATGCTTCTGTATACAATGCATTTTAGTCAATAACCTCCCAGTCCCATCACTTTATTATCTGTTTCAGTACTTGGTGCTGTGGGTGGATAACCTTGACTCTGACGTTTGTTGAACAACCAAGCATTTGTTCCTTCCTACCCTTTTTACCTTATTTACAAACACAGGCCATGAAATTTAGGTCAGAAAAAGAGACTTCTTATCACATTATTAAGAATGAAATGATTGGCATTCATTTCCTTGCTGCAGCATAGGGTAGAAACTGAAAAATGAGGACGCTGTTAGCTTGAATGATTTGTTTGTGTGCAGTAATTCTTGGGTTTGTTTATCTAGAGGATCACTTTATCTTTTTGTTTCCACAGATAATGATTGGACTCTGGATATTTGAAGATTAATCCAGTTCTTGATACAGGTTTACCAATTGATGCTATTTTCTTTCTTTTTCAATATGATCTTCAAAATGGCAAAGTAGATTTCAGTGTACATAGTGCTGGAAGCTTTTAGATTGGTACAGTTTTCAGATTTACTCTGATGTTGCTCTTGTATGTGTACATACCTTAAATACATTGCAGCCATTAATAGGTTAAATCTCTCAATCTCTCCCCTTATCTGCTCCTCTCTCTCATAGTCACACATATTGTATTTGGAAGGATGGAGCGTTATCATCTGCTCATAATTTTTGTTTTTTGGGGTCTGATGATGAATCTGTTGAAAAATTATCTGACATTTGTACCTTGTTTCATAACATGAGGAACATTCTTGTAGTATTTGAATGGCACTAAATTGTTTCCTTTCTTTTACTTGCAGTTTATGGGTTGGGATAAATGAAGTCGCAGCTCAAAATTGCTCTTGCTTTTGTTATTAGCTTGCTCTTTATTCAACACTCATTTTGTGGTTAGTATACCAATTTAGAAAACACAATGGTAATTGGCTCTCCAATTGTTTTGGTTAACCTTATGCACTGAAATTTAGGTGCTTGACACCCATTGGTAAAGGAATTAACAAATCGAAAGAAAGTTTATATTTGAAATCACGTGGGATTGTATTAGAAATTATGGTAGGAGGCATTGACAACACTTATTAATAAAAAATAAAATTCACTTTTGATTTCTTAACAAGTGCCCAAACGACACTAGTTAGCATTTACCTGTGAAGAATATTGCAGCTTTTAATGTTAGGCATCCATGGACACTACATTCCTGCTGCATTAAATAAGTTACTACTTAGTATCACATATTATCAAAATTCGTTATTTGACTCTGATTCTTGTCATTAATAGCATACCTTGCATACTGAAATTTAAGTGCTTAAATAAAAAATGAGGAAATTGCTGCCTTTGATATATGGGCAATGGAGCATTGCATGGTCACTTTATTCCTACAACATGAGATAATTTATAATAAGCTTCAGTTTTATGTTCTTTTAATATCCAGTTTATCGAGTTTCCCAGTTACATGCTTAACATGTTTCATCAAAGGAAAAATAAAATCCAAATGAGCCAAAAATATTTATTTTCTTACTTCTTTGCTTGGCATTGTTCTTTACAGATGAACCTTCTGATACATCTAGCCAAAACAAGTGGAAATGCAGATGTTCTTTCCAAGGGAACCAGAGCTACTCTCTCGCAAATTGTTCAAAGTCATGTGATTGCCACTCAGGTATGCAGTTAATATTTTTATTGGAATGAAGACCAAGAGCTTCCTGCTGTTCTTTTGTTATAAACCCACAAGCAAGAGAACCGAAAAATAGATAGAAAAGAAAGAAAAATCTGCAAAATTTTATTAAATTTCAACAAAAAGAAAAGGAGATAGAAAAATCTGTATTTTGGAACAATATTTTGCATTTATTGAGATGCTAGGTGTCTAATTGTGGTTATTAACCAATATAACTACGGTAGGAATGCAATATGATTTCTCCATTTTAGATGAAGTGGGGATACAGTGATCACAGCTTGAATGTTATATGGTTTGCCTTCTATGCAGATGCTGAAGAGAGTGCATCAGCATGGACATGCATATGTGATCCTAATGGGTTTCCCCAAGTCGCAGCAGATGGCCATAGCCCTAATTGCTTTAATGCTTGCAACTGCACCTGGGGTATCTTTTCTCTGTTGCTTGCTTTAATCCTTAATTTCCATCTTCAAAGTTTCACTAACTACCCTGAAGCTGATTTAGATTGGCTAATTCTAAATCAGTTATTATTGTATTGTACAGAACCTAAATGGATATTTACATACTAAGTTTTGTATTTCTTTTTCTATACAACTCTTTAAAACAATTTTTCTATAACAGATTGTTTCTCACTACAAGGGCCTTTTTCTTTTTTTATTTTGTGTCTTATTGATAGCGGCAAAACCTTGTACCCTTTCATACAAAGTCACTGGCTTGTTCCTAGATCAAGGTACTCAGAAAACTGAATGTATGATATTTTATATTTATTTTTTGCAATGCAGGAACTGTCACCATGCCGGGAGGTTCAAAGAAACATGTTTCCAGCAAGATTGTTGTTGTCATTCTATTGATATGTGTTATATGCACAACCATGGCATTTCTTATCTCGGTTATATGCTATGTCTACCGAAGGGACAGATGTGCTATTCAACCACCAGTATTCTCATCGGATAAGGAAATGAGTAGTGGTAGTACGGCCAACTTAATCAGTCATAGGTCAGGGGCTTCTTCAGTGCCAGAAACAAAATTTACTATACATTCTCCTATTTTTCATATTACAGGTAAGCTTGTTTTTACTTGCAGTTCCTTGATTCTATTTCATCATTTTTTAAAAAAAATTTTATAGAAGTATATGCAAACTTCAAAGTTCTGCTGTTGAATTTTGCCTTTGTTTATTGGTTCTTAATTAACATTTTCTTTTTGTGTAGGATGCTTTAGGAAAGCCTCTTTCTTGTTTGGGAGCCAAAAAGAAACTTTTCATGGAAATATTATTCAGTTTTCATTAGCTGAACTGGAAAATGCCACTGAAAACTTTTCAGCTTCCAACCTAATAGGACTGGGAGGAAGTAGTTATGTATACCATGGTCGGCTGAAAGATGGTAGCAATGTGGCAGTTAAGCGATTAAAAGATGAAGGAGTGCCAGATGCAGACTCTGCATTTTTCAAGGAGGTTGTACTTAATCTTGAGATATCAGTATTCTTTGGCTGGTCATTTTATGTTATAATGTTCCACATAAATGAGTAACCTAAAGTATTTTTTTTTTTTTTAAATTTCTGTACAGCATTCATAGTAATTAATCATGATTTTGTTTGTGTAGATTGAACTATTATCTCGACTTCATCATTGTCATTTGGTGCCTTTGCTTGGATACTGCTCGGAGTTAAAGGGAAAACATGTTCAGAGGTTACTAGTATTTGAGTATATGTCTAATGGAAATTTAAGGGACTGCTTAGATGGAGCTTCTGGAAAACATATGGATTGGGCCACTCGTGTTACGATTGCAATAGGAGCTGCAAGAGGATTGGAGTATCTCCATGAAGCAGCTGCTCCAAGAATTCTTCATAGAGATGTCAAGTCAACTAACATTCTTCTGGATGAAAATTGGCAAGCGAAAGTATGAATCTTGTTCATTTTGGATAGTAGCAGCAAATTGGGAATTACTTTAGGAGAGAAAATATACCTGGATTTACATAGAATCTAAGTGAGTTTGGCTTATGATAGAAGGTCAATAAGATACTGAAAGCAAAGGCTTAGTTAGTGGTGGTTTGAACTAAAATTATATAACACCTTTATTGCCACTTAATTCTTTTATAAATCTGCTCAAGTGCTTGTGTCTTTAGAAAATAGAGTTAATGATAATACCTTAGGTGGTCGTTGTCACTTAAGTCATAAAGTATACTTCTATAATCTTTTCAAATTTTCAACTTGCAGATAACTGATCTTGGTATGGCTAAAAACTTGAGATCTGATGACCTCCCCAGCTGTTCAAATTCTCCAGCAAGAATGCAGGGAACATTTGGCTATTTTGCACCTGAGTATGCCATTGTTGGTAGAGCTTCTCTTGAGTCAGATGTCTTTAGTTTTGGGGTGGTCCTTCTTGAGCTTATCAGTGGTCGGCAACCCATCCACAAATCCACAGGCAAAGAAGAAAGCCTCGTTATATGGGTATTTTAAATTTCCTCGTTAGTCATAATCATTACATTAACATGAATCTACATTTGTTCAAATAAGGAAGATCTTCAATGTGCTCAACTTGAAACCCATACTGACTTAATTTTTCATGAGGATCTTTTATTTATAATAGCTTGGACTCCTTAAGTTTTGTATCTTTTATTTCAATCATTAACTCATTATGTCTTTTGCATCATGATCTCATCTTCCATTAACAATCCTGAATTATGATGATTGGATTTATTGATAATTACTTGCTTCAGTATGAACTTGCTACATAGCTTAATGAATTCAGCCACAAAAGATTATGGACAACCAAGTATTGATGTAATATATCTTGCCTAAACTCTTTGTTTTAGGCTACTCCTCGCTTACAGGATAGTGGGCGAGTGATAGCAGAGTTGGTTGATCCACAATTGAAAGGAAACTTCCCAGAAGAAGAGGTGCAGGTTATGGCATACTTAGCAAAGGAGTGTTTGCTGCTGGATCCTGACACTAGACCAACCATGAGTGAGGCTGTTCAGATTCTTTCAAGTATTTCCCCAGGCAAATCTAGAAGGAGAAGAAACATTCCAGCAAACCTCCTTCAGGTAAACATGTTAACTACCATGTTTTCAGTTCTAATAGCAGTATTTCTAGTTTAATCAGGTTTCTTAATTTTCAAGGTTTGAAGTCTTGATGTATATATAGTCTGATCTTTTCCTTTCTGATAATGTAAAGGAACTAGAGGATGCTGCTGAAAAGCAAAAGAAAACTCTATCCAATAACTTTCCAATTCATAGCTCATTGCCACAAGATACTGATCAAAATCTTAGTGTTGTGCACAAAAATAAAGAAGCGGATGCAGTTTCAGCTGAATATATGGAGAGTTTGATCCTCTTGACTTCTAAATCTGATAGCAGGCATGCATCAGAAGAGGAAATGGTAGACCTAACTGAGCCTAGGTTTGAATCATTTTGCATCACAAATGGCAAGGTCCCTTGAAAACACAAGACCTGGCAAGAACAGAGATGCAGATGGCTGAAGTCTTATGTTGTGAGCACTGCTGGTACAACTATGTTGCTTGTACTAGCTTCAGTTATTGTGTTTGACTCAATGGGATAAGGGATGCCGATCTACAATTTTACTTTTTCACTTTGTTTTGAAAGGAAGAGCACAGAGGTGTTGTTAGATAAGCACTGAAATATATTTGTTTGTTTCTTGTACAGAAAGACATAGGATAATAGGAGATTCTGGTTCTTCTTTATTTGGAGAAGAACCGTGTGACATACACATTAAATTAAAGATTTTGGACATAGAAATAATTGTTTTACAAAGGAACTGTCCTAATACAGATGCCATTGCTCAAAAGTCCTTGTCCCCAAGAGGGTTAAGTGTAATAAATTAAATGAAACTAAGGTTTGTACACTAAAATAAATTCATATTTACACCAAGTTTCATCCATTCAGGATTCAGTTCTTGTATTGTTTTATGGGATAATCTAAGTGTTAAACAATCACAGGTTGTAGGGATTGATTATTTCATTCGTTTAAATAGATAGATAAATCACACGTGACATACATGGTGTAGATGCAAGTGTTTGTTCGGGGTGGCTTCTATGATATCGATGGATAGTTAGAATTTATGCAGTCATTTTAAATCATATTTAATGAACCTAAATTTAATTTAATAAAAATTAATTTTACTCAATTTTAAATCAAACAAACACTTGTGATATTTCAATTCTACGTTCTCTTTACTGGTACTTGTCTCCTTGAAGTTAAGTTTGTCATTTTGCAGCTGTTTTATAATTGTTTTAAACTAATAAGCTGCTAATCTGTCTCATTTTATGTCAATTGTACACCCAATCACAATATTAGAAGGCATATTTGGTCAGTTACGCTTAAGCATATTTATTTATTTTTTATTTACATAGCAATTGACAAGACTTCTATTGAGAATTCCACCGTGTTACAAACTTGCAATAATGTGCCGCAGCATTTTATGCAACATAAGAAAGAGTGTATGATATTTCAAAAACCTTTCCTTTCATAAACACCGATTGGTTCCAATAAGCAATTGAGTACGCTGGTGAAGCCTTGATAGCAGTTTCATCAGATTAAAGCCTCATGGTAGGGTCGTAGTCAGAAAATTCTCTGAGTCACGTAAATGTGCATGCCATGTTAAAAACAAATGAATTTTCTGATGTATATATACCTCAAGTGACTTAGGGACCAACACATCTACTTCCTCACATTTCACCAAGCACAACTTTTCCACTCTCATGGCTTTCAAAAAACTATTCCATTGCACTTCATTAGCTTTGCTTCTCATTTTTGGATTCTGTGCTTTCAAGGCCAATTCTCGCACTCTTGAACATGATTCAACGCATGAGAGGTATATGAGCAATGGGTGGCTCAACATGGAAAAGTCTATAAGGACTCTTATGAGAAGGAATTGAGATATCAAATATTCAAGGAAAATGTGCAACGTATAGAAGCCTTTAACAAAGCTGGAAACAAACCTTATAAGCTAGGCATCAATCAGTTTTGTGATCTCAAAATGAGGAATTCAAAGCCAGAAATAGATTCAAGGGTCATACGTGTTCCACAAAAACAAGGACGCCCACTTTAAGTATGAACATGTGACTGCAGTGCCAGCTACAACGGATTGGAGACAGATAGGAGCTGTCACACCTATTAAGGACCAAGGCCAATGTGGTATATGTGTTTGAATTTGATGATTCTTTGAAACTCATACTCAACACTTAATTGAATGTTTCCTGATGAACTTTGCTTTGTATTTTTACTATTTAGGATGTTGTTGGGCTTTTTCTGCTGTGGCAGCAACAGAAGGAATTGTTACACTAAGAAAATATTTGGCCAAGAACTGTGTCCTTCTCATTCAGATTGCTCATATAAATACAGTAATATTACAAGCTGTAACGTTGATTTCAGCCCAATAAATCAGCTAAACTACCATATATACATTTATAGCTAATTATGTTAAATAAAAGAATAACCGTTACAAATAATTGTGCAATCAATCCCATACAATTCTGTTTTCCATTAATTCCCATTAATTCCGTTGACATCCCCCCTCAAATTGATGCTGGTAAATCTACAAGCATCAATTTGCCAAGTAGAAAATTGTGTCGTTGACGTGTCAAGGATTTAGTGAAAATGTCAGCGATTTGAACAGATGTTGAGACATGTGGTAGATTGATGACTCTTCGATCATAAGCTTCTCGAATAGAGTGACAATCAACCTCGATGTGTTTCGTCCGTTCATGGTAAACTGGGTTTGCTGCAATCTGTATGGCACTGGTGTTGTCAGCATGCAATGGAGTTGGTTGTTCTTGAGAGAATCCAAGCTCTGTAAGAAGACCACGCAGCCATATAATTTCAGAACAAGCGGCAGACATTGCGCGATATTCTGCTTCAGTGGATGACTTTGAGACTGAATCTTGTTTCTTACATTTCCATGAAATAGGAGCATTTCCTAAAAACATACACCAGCCGGTAGTAGATTTTCGAGTGTCTGGACATCCAGCCCAATCAGCATCACTATATGCTTGGAGTTGCATTGATAAACCAGTAGGAAAAAATAAACCACGCTTTGGAGTGCCAAGGAGATATCTAACGATTCGTTGTGTTGCTGAAAGATGGAAATGCCGTGGAGATTGCATGAACTTGCTTACTGTATGGACAGCAAAAGAAATATCTGGACGAGTGATAGTTACATAGATGAGACTTCCCACCAGCTTGAGATATTGAGTGGGATCATCTAGAAGGTCACCTTCATCTCGTCTATATTTAACATTAACTTCTATGGGAGTGTCAACAGGGGTTGCATTTGTGAGTCCAGCTAGCTGGACCAAGTCTTGAATATACTTTTGCTGATTTAGAAAAATGCCTTCATGATGATAATGCACCTATAAACCCAAAAAATAAGTGAGTTGGCCTAACTCTTTCATATGGAAAGTTGAATGCAGTAGGTGTTTGATTCTTGAAATAGCATCTTGATCGGAGCCAGTTACCATAATGTCATCCACATAAACGAGAAGCACCACAATTCCTTGAGGAGTGCTTTGTAGGACAAGAGATGGATCATACTGACTTTGAGTGAATTCAAAATCAAGTAATGTCGATCGAAACTTTTCAAACCATACTCTTGGTGCTTGTTTCAATCCATATAAAGATCGTTTTAGTTTGCAAACAGTATTAGGCGAAGGTGTAGGCATACCATTAGGAAGTTTGATGTAAACTTCCTCCTGAAGATCACCGTGAAGGAATGCGTTTTTGACATCCATTTGATGTAGCTGCCAAGATTGTGATGCAGCAAGAGCAAGAATAGTGCGCACAGTTGTCATCTTGGCGACTGGGGCAAACGTCTCATCATAATCTAGTCCATACTCTTGCTTATTTCCAAGCACAACTAGACGAGCCTTATAACGATCTATAGAGCCATCCGAACGCAACTTTATAGAGAACACAAACTTGCTTCCCAAAGGTTTAATAGATGATGGACATGGGACTATGTCCCATGTTTGATTTTCTTCCAAGGCGAGAAGTTCAGCTTCAATAGCTCGCTGCCAACATTCATTCTCCATGGCCTGTTTATAAGATAAAGGAATAGGAATAGAAGATAACGATGCTGTCATGGAAGTGATATACCTTTCTGGGGGCTTACGAACGCGTGAGCTGCGTCGTAGAGGAGCCGATTCTGGTTCTAGTTCTTCTACTGGACCAGCAGCCAAGGAATCATCTTGAGAGGGCCCATGAGAGTCAATTGGTTGAATGTGAGTGGTAGGACTACGTCTTTTGTATGTCAAGAGAGGTTTAGGAGATTGTTGACCTGCATGAGAGTTGGAAAACAATGGCAAAACAGAAATCGGAGAAGCAACATGATCATGATGTGATGCGAAAAAATATGTATGTTCTTGGAAGATGACATTTCTAGATACCCGAATTCTACGAAGGTTAGGATCATAACATAGAAAGCCCTTTTGATGAGGAGAATATCCAAGAAAAGCACATCGAGCAGATTGTGCAGTGAGCTTGGTGCGTTCTTGTGGAGGAAGATGGACATAACACACACAACCGAAGATACGAAGAGTGGAGTAATTTGGTGGGTGACCATGTAACCGAGTGAATGGAGATTCATTACCTAATGATGGAGATGGCATTCTATTTATAAGATGGACTGCAGTGGAAAGAGCTTCACACCAAAAACGTGAAGGCACATGAGACTCCAATAAAAAGGTGCGAACAACATCTAGCAAATGGCGATTTTTTCTTTCCGCTACCCCATTTTGTTGTGGAGTTGAGGGGCATGACCTGTGAGATAAAATGCCATTGGATTGCAAAAATTCCTGAAATGAGTGTGACATGTATTCACCTCCATTATCAGAGCGAAATATTTTTATTTTTGATGAAAATTGGGTCTGAACATAAGCATGAAAAATTTTGAAAGTGGAAAAAACTTCATCTTTTGATCGCAAAAAATAGACCCAGGTGAAACGACTATAATCATCAATAAAAGTTACAAAATATTTGTAATTAGCATGAGATATAACTGGTGCCACCCCCCAAACATCACTATGGATGATATCAAAAGGTTGTGTTGTATGAGACTGATGAGTTGGAAAAGGCAGAATTTTACTCTTACCAAGCTTACAAGGAATACAATCAAAATGAACAACATTAAGAGATGGAGTGTGTTTATTTCCAAGAAAACCAGATTTTAGCAAGTCATGAAGTACATTTGCGTTTGGATGTCCAAGACGCTTATGCCACACTTGGTAATCAACAAAGGCAGAATTACAAGAAACTAAAGGCAAAGAAAGACTTAGAGGTAATGAGAAACGGATTGGGAAAAGACGTCCAACTTTAGGCCCCTTTGCGATGATCTTCCCTGAGTGTTGATCCTGCACAAGACAACCAGACTGTGAGAATTGTACTTGACAATCATTTTCGACTAATTGACCAACTGAAATTAGATTACTAGTGAGGCCAGGAGAGACAAAAACATCTGTGAGAGATGAAGAAATATCACCCGTGGCTGTGATAGGCAATTGATTTCCATCGGCGGTATGTATGTTGAGAGTGCCCAAATATTTTTTCACATTTGTAAGAAATTGAGCATTGTTGGTCATGTGGTTGGAAGCCCCCGAATCAAAGTACCAAGATGAAGAGGATTTACCTGAGATTCCTAAAGCAGAGAATGCTGAAATAATCATCTGTTGAACCATTTCAGGAGTCACCGTTGAAGTAGTAGCAAGAGGATTTGGTTGAACTGGTACTGCATTGACTGAATTGTCAGGAATAGATGAATCAATTGCAGCGGTAAAGGCAGTGACATTTCGCTTTGGTGGCCTTATTGTGCATTCCTTAAGAATATGTCCATGCTTTTTGCAGTAGTTGCA